GTTTTTTTCTGCCTTAGGCATTGTATCAGTGAAAATTCTGGTGAGTGTGATTTCTGAAATTTTGTTGCCTACATTTTCTTCTAGAATTTTTATGGATTCACGAGTCACATTTAAGTCTTTTATCCATCTGGAGTTTATTTTTGTGTATGGTATAAGTTGGTTTAGTTTTATTTTTCTGCATGTAGCTGTCCAATTTTCCCAACATCATTTATTAAAGAGGCTATCTTTATTCCATTGTATGTTCTTGCCATCTTTGTCGGATATTAATTGAGCATAATGTCTTGTGTCAATTTCTGGGTTCTCTGTTCTGTTCCATTGATCTATATGCCTGTTCTTGTACCAGTACCAGACTGTTTTGGTTACAGTGGCTTTGTAGTATAACCTGATATCCGGTATTATGATCCCTCCTACTTTGTTCTTCTTTTTCAAGATTGCTGTGGCTATTTGAGTTCTTTTTTGGTTCCATATAAACTTTTGGAATGTTTGTTCTAGTTTTGAGAAATTATGTCATTGGTATTTTAATGGGGATTGCATTGACTCTATAGATTGCTTTGGGTAGTATGGATTTTTTTTTTTATCCTCACCCGAGGATATTTTTCCATTTTTTGTACAGATAGAGTGGGAGGGAGAGAGAGGAAGAGAGAGAGAGAGAGAGAGAGAAACATCGACGTGAAGGGACACATCGAGTGGCTGCCACCCGCACAACCAACCAGGGCCGGGGACAAACTGCAACCGAAGTACGTGCCCTTAGCGGGAACCGAACCCGGGTCTCTCTGGACTGCAGGCCGACGCTCTAACCGCTGAGCCAAACTGGCCAGGGCTGGACTTTTTAATGATGTTAATTATTCCAATCCATGAACAAGGTATATGCTTCCACGTTTTTATATCTTCCTCTATTTCTTTTTTCAGTGTTCTGTAGTTTTCTGCGAACATGTCCTTTACTTCTTTAGTTAAGTTTATTTCTTGGTATCTTAATTTTTTTGTTGCAATGGTAAATGGGATTTTAGTTTCTCTTTCTGTATGTTCATTATTGGTGTATAAAAATGCCAATGATTTTTGGATGTTGATTTTGTAGCCTGTTACTTTGCCAAATTCATTTATTAAACGTAGCAGATTTTGATGGAGCCTGTAGGGTTTTCAGTGTGCAATATCATATCATGTCATGTGCAAATAATGACAGTTTCATTTCTTCCTTTTCAATTTAGATACCTTTTATTTTTTTCTTCTTGTCTAATTGCTGTCGCTAAGACTTCCAGTACTGTGTTAAATAACAGCGGTGAAAGCAGACAGCCGTGTCTTGTTCCTGTTCTTAAGGGAAATATGCTTTTAGTTTTTATCCATCCATTGAGTATGATGTTGGCTGTAGGTTTTTCATATATGGCCTTTATTTTGTTGACATATGATCCTTCTGTTCCTACTTTGCTGAGCGTTTTTATCAAAATAAATGCTGGCCTTGGCCGGGTTGGATCAGCAGCAGAGCGTTGGCCAAAGAGTCGTGGGTTTGATTCCCGTCAAGGGCAAGTATCTCGGTTGCAGTTCAGTCCCTGGCCCTGGTCAGGGTCGTGCAGGCGGCAACCAATCGATGTGTCTCTTTTGTGTGACGCTTCTCTCTCTCTTCTCCCCCACTCTATCTGAAGATAAAAATGGAAAAAAATATCCTCGGGTGAGGATTTAAAAAAAAAATGAATGCTAGATTTTGTCAAATGCTTTTCCAGCATCTATTGATATGATCACATGATTTTTATCTTGCTGCTTTGCAGAAAGCTTTATTCTACTTGCTATGTTTGATAATAAAGATTTTGTTCATGTGGTGTATCACATTTATCGATTTATGAATATTGTACCAGCCTTCCATCTCTAGGATAAATCCTTGGTCATGGTGTGTAATTTTTTTAATATATGCTGGATTCAATTGCTAAGATTTTGTTCAGGATTTTGGCATCTATGTTCATTAGGGATATTGGCCTGTAATTTTCTTTCTTTGTAGTGTCTTTATCTGGTTTTGGGATTAGGATTATGATGACCTCATAAAAAGATTTGGAAGTCTTTCTTCCCCTTGAATTTTTTGGAATAGTTTGAGGAGAATAGGTGATAGTTATTCTTTGAATGTTTGGTAAAACTTCTGTGTAGCCCTTTGGACCAGGGCTTTTATTTCCTGGGATTTTATTGATTAGTTCTTCTATTTCCTTAATTGTTATTGGTCTGTTTAGGTTTTCTGACTTCCCGGTTGAGTTTTGGAGTAATATATGATTCTAAGGATTTGTCCATTTCGCCTAGGTTGTCGAATTTGTGGGCATATAATTTGTTCATAGTATTTTCTTATAATCCTTTGTATTTCAGTGATGTCCATTGTCACTTCACTTTCATTTCTGATTTTATTAATGTGGATTCTCTCTCTTTGTTTCTTGGTGAGTCAGGCTAAAAAGGTTGATCAGTCTTGTTTATCTTTTCAAAGAACCAGAAAACTGATTTTTTAAATGTCTTTTTATTTTAAGGAGAATCCTTACAGATTTGTTGGGAAAACTTATTTCTTATTTGCTTTCTGATTCTGAGTTGAAGATTACAAAGCAATTCTAACTAATAGAATTAGAGCATTTTGTTTATATTCTAAATGAGCAACATGTCTCTATGCATAGCTCGTGCTTATGAGAAATTCAGTGTGGTCATATTTCAAGGCTGCTTTGCAGAAAGCTTTATTCTACTTGTTATGTTTGATAATAAAGATTTTGATTCTTTAATTTACTTGCCATGTAAACTAAATGACTTCAGGGTTTGCCAATGTAAGAAATGTTCAAACCTGCAGAGAATTTTTACACGAGTTTATTTAAGCCAAACTGATGACAGTTGCCAGGAAGCTAAGTCTCAGATACTCTGGAGAATGCCATTTTTGTAGTTTCTTTTAATACTTTTGGAATTAAGGGAACATGAAGATTACCTGAAGGTGGGAAAAAGCAGGGTATAGGACAGTTAACAAGATTATTTGCTCCTTGCAGGTCTGGAAAAGAGGATTACTTCTGGCATCTCAAAGGTGTGTTAACCTAGAAGTATAAGAACAGTGGATAGTACTTGCTTAAACCTTTCACTAAAGAAATTATAGGCCTGGAATGTGACCACCCACCATGACCTGCCCAGTTAGGAATTTATGATCATATCACCCTGTGAGGTTACTTTCCATCACTGGACTTGGCTGTTTGATTACATAACCCCCATTTTGTCCACAGGTCCAAGCTCTTATCTTTATTTTCCTAGTCTTAGTGTTTTAGGTAGTAGAAAGCACATGAACTTCATGAGGGCCAGAATCACCTAGATATAAATCCCAGCTGTTCTTTATTTATAGACTAATGGTTTTGAATAAGTTACCCAATCTCTGAGCTTACTTTCCAATGAATGTAAATCCATTAGCATTGTTTCCTCTTTCAAAATTGGGTATTAATAGCATAGTTTATAGTCTCATTATTATAAATATGCTTGCTAAGGCCCTTATGTGATAGGCATGTACCCAGGTTTGGTGATCCTTAAAGTTTTGTGTTATTGCTCCCAAAACTTTGAAAACACTGCAGCAAAGTCACATGATTTATGGAAGTAACAAACTAATTCTTAGTTTAATTAGAATTCTTGACTAAGTCTTGTGTACCCACATATATGAACACTAAATATACCTTTTATGGTATCCAGGCCCTCCCACCTTGCCTTACTCCTCCTTTCCCCTAGTGAGAACTTCTAATCTCATGGGATTTATGAGCATAACATGTACCTTGGTTCCTTCCTATTTTTGTATTTCTAGTTGGATTGCCTAGGATAATCGCCTTATTTGGATATGTAACTAAATGTCTAAAATAAGCTTTTGGCTCTGGCCAGTGTGGCTTGGTTGGTTGGAGAGTCTTCCCATACACCAAAAGGTGGTGGGTTCAATTCCTAGTCAGGCACATATCCAGGTTTTGGGTTTGATCCCCAGTCAGGGCGCATATGGGAGGCAAATGATTGATGTCCCTCCCCCCACCTCTTCCCCCTCTACCCCTCCCTACCTCCCTTTCTCTCTCCTTCCCTCCCTCTCTCTCTCTCCCATTCCTTCTCCCTCTCTCCTTTCTTTCTCTAAATATTAATAAAAGTAAGCTTTTGTACTGTGAATTAAGAGATAAAGCAAGGACTCTAAGAAACTTATTGTAATCCGGTTTAGAGAGATAGGGATGATTTCTGAAAGTGTTTTTATAAAACACTTAACATTTAAATATCATCTGTCAAATATTCATTAAATATTCATGTGTATAGGATTTTCTAAGAACTCACATGGATATAAAAGTATGCCCTGATTCTGAATTTTGTTTTTCTTCCAGGGTAGTCTAGTAAGAGTTCAAAACAACTAAAAAATATTGAAAAAATCAGACATTAAGCAATTTAAATGTAAAACATTACCAATAATATATGCTATATAAGTTAGAGATTTGGTCCTGTTTATTTCAAACAATGTATGATGAATTTTGGTTTCCTGTGAAATAGAAATAAAAATACCTTATAGGGTGGTTATTGTAATGTCTAAATGAGATTGAATATGTAAAACCCAGCTATATTGCATAAAATCCACATATATTCTTTCTATACTTACGTATGTTTTTAATTGAAAAAGTAATGTGTATTATGTGGCAAAAATATGTAAGTAGAACAAAATGAAAAGCAAATCTTCTCACTCCAGACTCTATATTCTTCCCTATGCATTTCTGTACCAAGAGCACAATTTTGAATAGTTTCAATAATTATCCTATGTACATATACAATTATATATTTTTATAATACATAAGTGGGAACACATTATATATGTTTTCTTGATCCTGCTTTTTTTATTTAAAAATAAATTTTGGAAGTCTTTCCTATCAAATACAGGTTTTTTAAATACATGATTGTTTTATTGTTATTAATGATTACTGAGTATTTTTTCCACGTATTAAACCACACTTGTTTAATGTGTTTAAAATATGTTAAATTAAAAACCTTCCTCTCTTTAGGGTCAACTCACTATCCTGAAAGTCCACCCTCCCAAGAAGCAGGGACAGAAAGAAAGACCTCTTTGTAAGAAAGGCTTGTGTATCCCATGAACGAGACAGCGAAAAACCGATTGGAGTGCAGCAGGACTCCAGAGCCAGAAATACGGCTCAGAAAAGGGCCCAAACTTGATGGTACAAGAGGTAATGATGACAACCACCAAGGAGATTTGGAGCCTGTTTTAGAGGCATCTCTTCTTTCTACCCATCATAAAAAAGTAAGTTGAAGTGTTAGGATGGTAAGTAAAACAAAAATTTATGGGAGTGTGGCTGGAGAGAGGAAGGGGTTTTGCAAAGGAACCTTGAGCACATTTGTAAGTTTTTGTTCAGGATAATTTGAAGTCTTTTATTCTTAAATCTGCTTGATTTCATAGTTATACCTTTTCTTTTTTTTAATACTCACCCGAGGATATTTTTCCATTTTTTTGTACAGATAGAGTGGGAGGGAGAGAGGGGAAGGGAGAGAGAGAGAGAAACATCGATGTGAAGGGACACATCGAGTGGCTGCCACCCGCATGACCAACCAGGGCCGGGGACAAACTGCAACCGAAGTACGTGCCCTTAGCGGGAACCGAACCCGGGTCTCTCCGGACCGCAGGCCGACGCTCTAACCGCTGAGCCAAACTGGCCAGGGCTATACCTTTTCTTTTAAAATAATTTACAAAATATTTGTCTTTATTGATTTTAGAGTGAGAGGAAGGAAGAGGGAGAGAGAGAAAAACATTGATGAGCCCTGGCCGGTTTGGCTCAGCGGTTAGAGTGTCGGCCTGTGGTCCAAAGAGACCTGGGTTCGATTCCCGCTAAAGGCGCGTACCTCGGTTGCAGTTTGTCCCCGGCCCTGGTTGGGTCGGGTGGGTGGCGACCACTCGATGTGTCCCTTTCACATTGATGTTTCTCTCTCTTTCTCTTCCACTCTATCTGAACAAAATATCGAAAAATGTCCTCGGGTGAGGATAAAAAAAAAAAAAAATTAGAAAAACATCGATGAGAGAGAACATTGATTGGCTGCCTCCTGCACGCCCCCACTGGGGATTGCCAGCAACCTGAGCATGTGCCCTGACCGGGAATCTAACCGGTGAACTTTTGGTGCATGGGTCGACGCTCAACCACTGAGCCACACTGGTCAAGCAGTTATACCTTTTCTGTTGACACTTAAAATCATAATCTGCTTTACGTTATTTGCGAAAGGAAATAGGTTGTGTAGTGCTTTAGTGATGACATTATCATTTATATCTCTGGAGAAATTCTGATTACATGTTAGAAATACTTCTGCAGATATGGTTTATCTGACCTTGGAAGTCAGTAGAGTTCTGAGAAGACAAGGCAGATTTTAATCTTTCACTTCCCAGAGAAAAGAGCAACTTTTCAATTATTCAAGCAATTACATTTAGGGAGAACAAAGGTAGAAATATCTGTAAATAGAATCAGAAAGACATCGCTATAGACATTTTGCTGTGTGCTTTGAAACCTTGGAATTAATGTAGCATGCATTCAATGTTCTGACTCTAGTACAGTGTTTCTCAAATGGTAGGTTGTCGCCATTAGTAGTTTGTGAAATTAATTTTGGTACTAAAGGCCAAAAAATTAAGTCAAAAATTAAACAGCAAAATAGAATAAATATTATTGAGCCGCATGTATACAGTAATATACATCTAAACAAACTCTTATTTGATGAAATAGTTTAGTTATACTTATTTCTTTATATGAATAATATATGCATTTCTTCTCTTTTTTTTATCCTCAACTGAGGACATTTCTGCATTTGTTCTCAGAGCAGGAGGGAGAGAGGGAGGAAGAGAAAGAGAGAAACATCGATGTGAGAGAGACACATTGACTGGTTGCCACCCACAAGACCCCAACCGGGGCCGGGGACAAACTGCAACTGAGGCAAGTGCCCTTAGCAGGAACCGAACCCAGGACTCTGGTCTGCGGGCCAACACTCAAACCACTGAGCAAAACTGCAGGGCTGCATTTCTCTTTTTTTTAAATTAAATTTTCTTTTTATAGAGAAAGGAAGGAGAGAGAGAAACATCGATGTGACAGAGAAACATCAATTAGCTGCCTCCTGCATGCCAATTGCTGGGGATTGAGCCCGAAACCAGGCATGTGCCCTGACTGGGAATTGAACCGGGACCTCTCAGTCCATGGGGTGACACCGGCCGAGCAATATATGCATTTCTTACTGTGGGTTATAGTTAAAAACATTTCAAAAGCCTCTACTTGAAAATGCATTTTTACCATTCTAAGAGATATGCTTATTATGTGGATAATAGTGGTGCTGGTTTGAATTCCAGCGGGTTGTCTTTGTCTGTTGAAGTCTTTTATAAGAATTTCACCAGGGCTTTGGAACAATATAGGCTATTGTGGCAAGAAATTTAAGGTCATGTCTCCTTTTATTCTTGGTACTACTTTGCAAGCTAGCTTTATACTAGACTGTGCTATAGTGACTGATTATTTGCGTGCATGTTTTGCACATACACAGGCAGATTAGTAGTTTATAGGATTAAAATAACTATTTGCTTTCAGCAACTATTAAGTATAATTTGGCCTTTAAACTAGCATTACTGTTTAAAAAGAAATTTGATGGATGTCTTGGGCAAGAACTTCCTTTCACATTTAAGACTGCATTCTTGTTGCCACTTTATAGTAATATGTACTAGCAGCTAAGATGTTCCTATCTAGGCTGAGCAAGGTGTGTTTCCCTCAGTTGCTACTATAAGGCTTAAATAGTTGTATTCAGCTAATGAGAATTATCACTAGGTTTGGACAAATGACTTTCTTAAATAATTTTTTTTCTTTTTCTTTTTGTAGTAAACACATAACATGAAATCTACCCTCTTACAATTTCCTTTTTTTTTTATCCTCACCCAAGGATATTTTTTGTATTTATCTTCAGATAGAGCAGGAGGGAGAGAGTGGGGAAGAGAGAGAGAGATACACATCGACTGGTCGCCACTCACACAACCCCAACCAGGGTGGGGACAAATGGCAACTGACGTATGTGCCCTTTGGGGGAACTGAACCCGGGACTCTTTGGTCCGCCGGCCAACACTCTAACCATTGCTGAGCCAAACCGGCTAGGGCAACAACAAGTTTTTTTAAAATTTATTTTTATTGCTGAATGTATTACAGGTATTCCTCTTTTACCCCTACTGACCCCCCCTCCTCCCCACTCCCACCCCCCTCCTGCCCTTCCCCACCATTGACTATGTCCATTGGTTATGCATATATACATATAAGTTCTTTGGTTTATTCTCGCCCCCCCCCCCCTTCCCTTTGAGGTTTGTACTTCTTAATCCCTTCACCTTTTTCACCCATTTCCCCTACCCCCCTTTCCACCTGGCAACCGACAAAATGTTCTCTGTATCGATGAGAGTGTTTCTGTTCTGCTTGTTCATTTTGTTTGTAGATTCAGTTGTCGATAGATATGTATTGACATTTTGTTCATATTTTTGATCTTTTTCTTCAAGAAGACCCTTCAGCATTTCATATAATAATGATTTGGTGATGATGAACTCCTTTAACTTTTTCTTGTCTGGGAAACTCTTTATATGGCCATTGATTCTAAAAGACAGCTTTGCAGGATAGAGTAATCTTGGTTGTAGGTTCTTGCTTTTCATCACTCTGAATATTTCTTGCCACTCCCTTCTGGCCTGCAACGTTTCTTTTGAGAAATCAGCTGGCAGTCTTACGGAAACTCCCTTGTAAGTAACTAACTGCTTTTCTCTTGCTGCTTTTAAGATTCTCTCTTTGTCTTGAACCTTTTGCATTTTGACGATGATGTGTCTTGGTGTGGGCCTCTTGAGGTTCATCTTGTTTGGGACTCTCTGTGCTTCCTGGACTTGTATGTCTATTTCCTTCACCAAGTTAGGGAAGTTTTCTGCCATTATTGTTTCAGATAGGTTTTCGATTTCTTGTTCTCTCTGTTCTCCTTCTGGCACCCCCAAGAAGCGAATGTTGGCACTCTTGAAATTGTCCCAGAGGCTCCTTACACTATCATCATTTTTTTGGATTCTTTTTTCTTTTTGCAGTTCTGATTGGGTGATCAGCTGTGCAGGGGCCCACCACACAGAGCAAGGCTTACTTCAGCAGGGCTCTGGTACCCATTGAGTCTATTCCTTGAGTTTATCACTTGTAGAGGTAGTTGAGTGGTAGTGCTTTGCAGTGTTCTGAAGCTGTCCACTGGGTGTGTGCTGGTTCTGGGGCCAGGTCAGTCACTGCCTGTGTTCTACCCAGGGCCACTCGGAATAAGCTACAGAGTGATCTACAGATGGCTGCTGCTTGTGCTGGGCTTGGAGATGCCCAGGCAAAGCCAAGTTGTGAATCAAGGCTGGCTGCTTCTCATGCCAGGCCTGGGGCCACTTAACAAGAGATATGGGGCTCACTGAGACCAGATGCTGCTTGTTTGAGAGAATTTAGGAAAATCTGAAGCAGGATCCAACAGGAAATCCTATGGTAAAGCAACTGGTAACTGCTTGGATGGGCCTGAAAGTTGAGTGGGACAGGGCCTCAGGGAATCACCAGGGCAGGGCAAATAGTGTGAGCCAGGTTGCTGGGAAGTCTGCTGGCCTTGTGGGGGAAGGGCTCACCAAAGGAACAAAGGCCTCCGCCAGCATGTCTGTCCAGGAGAAAGCTGCCTCTCCAGCCCTCACCCCAATGCCAAACAAAGTTCTTCCCCATATGTCTCTGGTGCCCTTTGAGCTGCCTCCCCCATGCTGGAGCTCAGAGAGAGCAAGTCCGAGTAAGTCGGTGAGCGGGCCCTTTAAGAGGAGCTGCCTGGGGCTCCAGAAGCCTCAGCCTTCCTCAACCCCAGTTCCCGCTGGTTTTTACAGCCAGAAGTGATAGGGACTTCTCTTCTTGGCACTGGAACCCTGAGCTGGGTGCCTAGTGTGGGACAGGGATTCCTCACTTCTCAAGGAGGACCTTCTGAGCCGAGGTGTCCCCTTGATTTTTATCGGCCACATGTGGATGTGGGACCAGCCCATCTGTGCCTCCGCCCCTCCTACCAGTCTCGATGTGGCTGTTTCTTTTCTTTTTTTATTCTCACCTGAGGAAATTTTCCGATATTTTGTTTAGATAGAATGGGAGGGAGGGAGAGAGAGAAACATTGATGTGAAAGGGACACATCAAGTGGTTGCCACCCACACAACCCAACCAGGGCCGGGGACAAACTGCAACTGAGGTACGTGCCCTCAGTGGGCAAACCCGGGACTCTCTG